TGGGTCTCTACTTAGTCTGCTGCTCATTTCCCTGCCTCATGTGCCTTTCAAGAACAGTCAGGTTTCCTCCACATGATGGTCCCCAACCTGAAGGGCAAGAAGAATTCATTTCTCCTTCATTTACTCGCTGTGATCTCTCTCTCTGCCCTTCTCAGTGTTTATCACCCTTTCTCCTTTTCAGTGCATGACTTCCAACTCCCCTGTGATCTGTGTCTTGTAAGAAACTAAGAGGGACACTCCCAGTGTAACCTGCGGCTGGACTTTGGGTCTTAACAGAGATAACTCATTATCTTTCTGGCTTTCTCAATTCTACCTGTTTACTAGGTTCATTTCTCCAAGTATTAGAGTAACCAGTGCTCTTGTTAGAATCGATATTCCTTCCCCAGAACTGTGTAGAGTGTGTTGTTCTTACCACGGTCATGTCCGTCTGCTTTCTCCTTTGCTCTATAATGTTTCTCACCAGATGATTGAGATATACGCATCTGCGGATGACCCTCAGAGAATATCTGCAAAATGAATGAACCCACTGAGTTGCATGAAGATTTCATGACCATTCTTTTAGACATCACCCAATTTTCGGTCTTGAAAGCAGCTAAGTAAAATATCGAGAATTAGAGATTGAACAGTCATAATTTCACTAGGGCAACCTAGCATTTTTGTTTCAGATAGAGTTGAACTCTTAAGTTCCTCTGGCTCCTATATTGGTTAAAGCAGAGATGATTTCATTGAAAACACATTCCCTGCCAACATATTAGACATGTATGTACTCTAATAGCCTAAATGCAGTGTGAGCAACCCTATCTCGCATCCCCACGAGAAATACCAATGCCGTATATACTTAAATAGAACATCTTGAGAAATATACTTAATGTTATGTGGCATCACACATTTTCAAAAATGAATTTACAGAAATTTTTAAATTATGAGACTTGCTGTGAGAAGAGAGTTGGAATTATGTGATGTGAAGCAGAAATGAAACACTGTTGGACTTGCCTCATTTTGGTCATCATGGCCTCACAAGATCTAAAGAGCTTTTAGTAAACGTTTCACTTAGAGGAAATCCAGTTCAATAAAATAACAAAATAAGATAAAGAAATGTTTCTTACTGTTGAAAAACAGCACACGCAATCTGGGTAGATGAAACAACATATTCTCCTGAGAGAGAACTAGAA